ATGCATTAGTTATTTATTCAGCCCCAAAAGTTCAATTACTAGTTGGGAAAGAAACTCACCAGTCGTGGGGTACACAGAAAAGAAAGAACCAGCGATATTTGCTACACCAAGTCCAAATAACTGCCAGAAATGATCTGTCAGTATGTACAGAAGTGAATTCATATGCATTCCATCTAAATATGATTGTACAGTTACGTCACGAGTCAAAAACCAATGCACTATATTACTACACTAAGAGAAGCTATATACAGATCAAGGTTAGAGTTTTATGTGGAAGCACATGGCATTAACTGGTCCGTCTACCTTCCTACCATCCCGAACAACAACACAACCCATCTGACCCTGGATACTTTAAGATGGAAATTCAACATGCCTAGGCGATTCTAATTGAGGGTCGATTTTCAATTTCAAATTGGTAGGAAAGGACATGTCTGCCTACAGTTTATGACAAAGGAACCTGAGATGCAGCAAGCAACGCTACAAGAGATGATGTTAACAACCAACCTCTTGATTGGAGTCCAATTCATATCCATTCTTCGCGGCAAGTGCTTTGGCAATGCCCACAGATTCCTATACACAAAATTAACATTACATTCCTTAACCAAGAAAACGGGCATGGCACCAAATATGCTAGGAATTAAAGTAATAGAAGAAGCGTAGTAGAGTAGTTGAGGTAAATAATAATAAATATTTTCTCTTACCAAAATAGCCACACCAGTAATGAGAGCTGTTGTTGGAATCAACGACTTTACGTGCTCAAATTCCTTTGGGAAAGAAAACTTTGGCAGTCCCTGAGGTATTTCACCAACCTAGAACAGTAGCCAAATATATCACATATATCTAAGTATAGTCCATCAAAGTTAAACTCTTAGCAATTCCACATCAAGATAGTAACTGATATTTTTTGACAGTTATATATCACAGCCACTCATCCTTCACGCAATTCTCACCAATGTAATTGAAGATGGATGATACACTTTCACAAAGATCGTACCCAGAGCTACAGCTGTAAGGGGACCAGATGCTCGTAAAAAGCGCAAGGACTTTCTGGATTTCCCCTGTAAACAAGGATCAACTAAATCATAGTTCATATAAATATGTAAAGAGAATGATAAATAGAGAGTTGATGAAAAGTTAGTTGAACTCATACCAGATGCTTCATGGTTAGAAGAATAACTAATATAGTGGAGCCCATGAGAAAAGGTGGCCATGAGAACTAGAGAAAAAAAAGAAAGGGGAAAAAAAAAAAACAAGCAAAAATTTAAAATCCAGTACTAGAACAGACTACAACAATAATAACAAAGCGCGAAAAGAAGTGCAGTCAAGGCATATAGTTATAAACTGAAACTACAAAAACTCTATATTAGTGGCTATCTATGAACCACACAAGAAAGAAAATAAGAGCTCATGATTTCATTGATGACGTATAGCCATAGAGAAATGATGTGGCACTGTGTTTACTTATTTATCTGGTTCGTTTGGCTCACGCAGAAGTTACAGTGAAAAATTAACCTATTATAATTTAAAGGTTAAGTAGTGTGTATTTCTATGTTCAATTTTTAGAGGTATATCATTTTTCTTCATTACCTGGGGGTAGCAGGTGAGAAATTAAGATCTATGTATGCACTCCAAGGGAATAAACACAAGAGTTCACAATATCTTTGGGCTTCCCCCCTAACATGTAAATATTTCAGAATTAGTAAGTCTGAAATAAATGTAAACTATTATAAAATGACTAATGTGTTTAATGTAGAGAACAGGTCAAATATTCNAATGATCTAAACAGGATCAATGATCTTGTCAGTGTTCTTCAATAAACCTAGTAGATGAAAAGAGTCTAACCCAGAGCCAGTCTGCAAATTTGTTAATTTTGGATAGATATTACAGTATATACATGCGTATAGATTTATGAAATTCCAGAACTAATCCATTTTTATTAACAGTAGATCACATATTGAAAACACGAGTTTCACTAGAAAATTATTAAATCGAACCAGATAGTGCAACTTCTGCATTTCAAAACATCATAGTGCATGTTGCAGTTTTATAAGGACTAGCAGACCGATTTGTCAACAGTGGTACAAACCAGTGACATACCTTATCTGCTCCTATAATAATGCTTCTTGCTAGTGGAATAATTTTGCTGCTACGTTCTATATCATAACCCAAGAAATATTTCGCCTGAGACAGCGCAATGACAATGGCTGAAGCAGTAGTAAAACCGGAAATCACAGAATGGCTGATGAATCGAATAAGCCACCCAAGCCTAGATGTTAGCAAAAGAAATCAATATAAGAGAGTTTTATCATCTTAAAAAGGTGCAGTAAATATTGAATTGGAAAAGGAAATTATCAACATTAGCAGTTTGTAATGAGGTCTGAACAGTACAACCTGCAGCAACAGTTGCAGATGTTTTGAATTAACTAGGAAGATAGCCCGGATATGGGAATATGTGAGGCCATTTCCTCATTTATTGTATAGACTTGAATGATATGTTCACTTCTTCATGCATTTGAAACCAATGTCTGACATGCATAGTTACGTATTTAGTGCTTGCATCAACGTTTCACGTAAGAATGTTTACTAACACGAAAATCAATAAATAAATAATGCAAAATAAACAAACGATTGGCAGCTAAAAGCTGGAGGAAAAAATCACACCTAAGTGTACAAGAATAATGCTATAGAGCCAACTTAAATGACAACTTGTCTTACAACTCAAGTGTAAATGCATTATTTTTTAACTTTTTGACAATACATTTACACTTGGGTTGTAAACCAAGTTGTCATCCAAATAGGCTAAATAGCATTACTCAAGTGTACAAATGACAGTTGAAAGTCAGTGGTTATCTGATTCTACTTCTGGTTTGGCTTGCAGACAAATAAACTCGAAAACTTCCAAACCAAACAGAACCTCCTAACTTTGTCAAAATCAGCTCTACTCCACAAACACTACTAACTGATGATTCTCAACTACTTGCCGGCTGATTCACTTCGAAAAACTTGAGTCAATGCAAATAACTTCTTTGAAAACTAAAATTTCACGAAGCCCCGTTACGCTGTACAATATGTCATATGGTGATTAAATAATTAATATATTTGCAATTCTATGAATGTCTAAATGCGAAAATAAGCATACTAGTGTTGAAAGCAAAAGTTAAATCAACAAGCCACATAGATGATTGAGAATGGAAGTGAAGAAACAAGAATAAAGGCATCAGCACCTCAAAAGTCCCATGATGCATTCCAAAACACCAACCATAAGTGCCAATAGTATCGCAAGCTCTGTATACAACTGCTCTGATGAGTCAACTATGCTGCTCAGTACATTAGACACCAGGAGAGAGGTCAATGCAACAGGCCCGATTGCAAGCTGACGAGACGACCCGAATATGGCATACACAAATATAGGTACAAAACCAGAGTCTGAATTACACAAGCGTGCACATGTTAACCCAAGCCAGTTATAGCGACACAAAAACATACGAACACACATAAAAGAGAGACAGCCTTAAGTTACTGAAATGGCATGAACTAAAGTTTTGTAGGCACATACAGTTTGCTTAATGTGAAGAAAACAATAACACGAAGATGGAAACAAAGAAACTTACATAATCCATATATCGGGTGCAATCCAGCTAGCTTTGCATACGACATGGACTGTTATCCAAACCAAAAAGTACACGCCCACGAATTCTTATCAACTCGTTAAGGGGAAAAAAAAAAGGAAAACGAGAAACAGAACTAGCAATGAAGAGTCGAAAGGATTTGTCCTAGGAAGTACCTGAGGGACAAGCATGACGCCGACAGTCATGCCGGCCATAAGGTCGGCTTGCAGATATTCGCGCCATTTGTAGTTGCTAATCCAACGGTGGCAGGGTAAGAAGAGCTGAATCCATTCCGTCCTCGTCATCCGCTTCATCCTCGCCGTCCATTTACCCCAAATTTTGGAATATGGCGCGGTTGAGCCGGACGTGGTCGGGTGCTGCAGCTGGATTATTTTCACGGGTCGGGGTGCGCCACCGTACGACGTCAGGTCACCGGCGCTCGGGGAAGAGTAGCTAAACCCCTCCATAGGACCCCAGAACCAATTAAAACGACGGCGGCGCGTGAGAGATCAGCCGCCAATCGACGAAAAATTTTCGATTGAATTGGTGGAAAACGAAGACCATACAGAAAAATCTTTACGTTGAATGAAAACAGTTTGTTGATGGATTTGCGAATTTAATGTATTTATTATCTGATATATATAAATAAACTGTGCTGAAATTTCAACGGGATTATATGTATTTTATCAAAAGTATAAACATTTCCACCTGATAAAAAATGGAGAAAAAACATATTTTATTTTTCCTCTAATGTACTTATAAAAATAAAAATATACCAATAAAATTATATACATTTCAATAATAAAATACAAACTTATTGTTTTCAAAAAATAAATAAAATTTCGACTGTATTACAATAATAAAGTCATATTCTTAGGCTGAACTAAATAAAAATTTTCAAAGAAACTATTATTTAATAAAAAAATATGATATTTAATATGTAAAATCATAATGAAAAGCCGCAATAGTGCTTGGAATGGACTTTTTACTATTGAACACGAGGAAGAAGTATCCATCACTGAATGAGGTCGTTTTTGCGGGCAAATACAGAATGTAGATAAGAGATGCGAACAGTACAACTATACATCCTTGGATGATCCTGTGTTTGAGACTAAAAGGCATTAACAATTCATCAGCAAAGTCCTGCGCCCCTAATTGCTGTGGCCACCAATAAATATGTTGGTCAATTGATATATCCCATGAAATTAAAATATTAAAAAAATTATATGATAATTGTAATTTACTAATTTTCCGTACTGTAAATAGGTTTTCTAAAAGGAAAAAACATAGACAAAAGAATTGTTCACTTCTTATCTATCAACTATTCCGCTCTCTTCTTTGAAGAACTTATAACTCTTGAATAATCAAAGTTCGGAACTTACAAAAGAACACTTGAAAATACCTGTTGTATTCAACTTTTTGAGTTCAACTGTTTTCATCAAATAAAAAGAGTCCCCAAATTCGTAAGATTACATTTCATAACAACTGCATGTGCATATCCTCACAGGACCCCCCAAAAAAACCAGGGGAGGATGAGCTCATCACACTTACACAAAGATCAACTCAGTCCTTTTTCAGAAGAAAAAGCTCTTTCCATATAACAAAGAAGATATGAAAACCAATAGTCCATTTTCCCCGAGTCTTCGAAATAAAATATAAAAATAAAATAAGTATACTCCCGAACGTCTTCAAACGAAACACAATCAAAGTTTACATAGGAAACTGTCCCGTATATTGAATGTGATCCAAAGTACGGCGTAGACCAAACTTGTTAACTGCTGACATGGCAGCTCTATAACCTCCTCCATAAGCAGGGGAAGCATCGTGTGCTATCTGATGCATGAAGAACTCGCCAAGCTTGTTTTCGACACTCGACCTGCCGCCTTTCTTGGATGATGACCAAACAGATGATGATGATGATGATGATGTCATGGTTGATGATCCGTATGGCCATTTTTTTGTTGTTGTTAATGATGATGATGATGATGTGGATGGCATGTTTCTTGTCTCGGGAATTACTTCAGACTCGAGCCACATGTGAGAGAGTACCTGACAAATGCCTTCTTCTACCTCGGGTGCCAGATTTCGGTACCCTGTGTTTTGAAAATTAAAATTTGTAAATTTTATTGCGAATAAATACGAGGGTTTGTTATATTTTTAATTTTTTAATAATAAATGTTACTTGACGCCGTAAGTTTCTATTCTTTGGATTTAACAAATAGCGAGGAGCAATTTTTAATTATAAATGCAATAGTTCTCATGATGGGTAATTAATTTCTACCACTTTTTTGTCGTCTAAAAGTGAAACCACAGCCTATGAGAAAAAAATAAATAAATAAATAAATAAATAATAAAAAGAAAGAGTTGAAGACCAAGCATGTTACCGTTGAGTCGTAACCATCCATGCATCAACTCATGTGCGAGGATTGAGCCGGTGAGCAACCTGGATCAAGAATTTCAAAATATTTATATTTATGCTTGAATTAAATATTATTTGGGAAGGTTAAAGTGAACTATCAGTAACGTTGTGTGGATTATAGAGAAGTTTAATAACCACAACAAACACCTTGAGGTTTGCTTCTGTCATGTATTTTTTTTTNAAGAGAAATGCTATTTTGCCAAAAAGTTGGACAAAAAAGATGTCTAGTTGTCTATGTTTAGATGTTGATTTTAAAGATGATGTGATGTGAAAGTAATATGTCAAAGTGTGTCAACCTTTATGTTTGGACAGCATAACCCTTTTACCATAACCTATTGTTTGAAAAACAGAATTCAAATCTTCACTCAAAAGTATTTTAAAGTATATCTCCCAACTTTTTCAGATTTAAGAAATAGGCAGACAAAAAGATGGAAGTCAATTGAAGTTTGAAAAGTTGAAGGATGTAATTACAAGATAAAGGATATATCAGCAAATTCGAGCAGGTCATCCAAACATCAGGCTTAAATTATGTAATAAAAGCTTGTGGGTTTTTTGTAATTTGGAGTTTCTCTGGGTTAGTCTGAAATTTACAGGAACTAGGACAACTATAAGGAGAATCTCTACTATGCTTTTAGCTCTGTTCTCTATTTAAGGTTCACAGAAATTAGGATAAAAGAGCCCAAGAAAGAACGTAGACTAAAACATCCATAGAAGTTCAGGATGAAAAGTAAAACGAAATCATCTTCCATTCAATCAAGTGTATCCAAATGCATAACCACAAACGAATTAAATGCCAGTCATACACGGTTATTGGCTCAAACTAGAAAAAATTTACAAGCTTTTTTTGTGAAACACACAGAGAGAGAGAGAGAGAGAGAGAGAGAGTTACCTGGGGAGACCATACAAAACCAGAATGGCTGTAACCTCACACTTACGAATCAGTTTTTGGGGTTGTGTCCTAATTCCTACTAGTCCAGCACGCTCCATTCTTGGCCTTTTCAGAACCTGGATATTTTCCACCTTATTCATTAGTCTATTTATTGTTCACACCACCAGCAATATAGTTATTTTCTTTAAAAAAAAATAAAAGCAACTTTTACAATTATGGAAATCACCCCTTAATGCATAGTTTCATCTTTCAGTTTGCCCCAATTTTTGCTTAGCTAACATCATCAAATATTTTACAAGTATAGATCACCCGAAACTTTTCATCTAGTTATTTCTTGTGCCAAGAAAAAATTGAGGGGAGAAATGTAAATGAGGGCTTCAACTGCAAATATATTAGTTGAAGACCACATCATCCATTAGCTCCAGCATAGGTGTAAAATGTATGACAAATATAACCTCAAGTGGCTCAAGGGGTTTGTTTCGATAAGTTTCAGAGTTAAGTGAGTTCAGTTGCTGATTCGGGCAAACCCTAGGGGTAGTAGTTCATTACTAATTCTCATTTTATTCTTACACAATGGGAAGAAAAAAAAAAAGAAAGAAAAAGAAAAAAGAACAAGGGTGGTACTGAAGAGTTTACACTAGTAACAGTCTGCTCTTCGGACAGGCATAAACCTCTCGTCTCAGGCATGTGATGAAAGCCCTGCAAAAATCGTCATATTTCACAGAGAAAAAAAAAAGAAAAGAAAAGAAAAAGAAAAAATCTGCAAGAATATCAAAAATGGAAAAGGAGACAATTTCTATGTAGCGTTTTTACATGTTTCTCCCCTTCAATAGCCTCGTTAAGGGCGTGCCTCTCGACAAGAAGCATTGGTATCTGTTGATCAATTCTCATGTTCATTCCTTCATAGAAGTCTCGGATGGAATGGTATAATGGTTGACAGTCTCCCGTATCCATAATAGCCGACTCCATACACTCCAAGCATATATTACGCCCATCTCCAAGTGATATGTATTTTGTGTTCCAAGACTTAAGGCAAACAATAACAAAGTACACAGTGAAGAAAAAGAAATTGTGTAATAGCATAAAAAACTTAAGATCCAGCCCCATTTGAGGAAAAGAAAGAGAAAAAGGCAATACAAATAGGAATATTTACAAAAATTACAAAAGCTCCCTAAAGAAGTTTCAGAATTACAAAAACAATAAACCTTGAGGTTTCAATCTGGCAGAAAATTAAAGAGGATAAATTGTATTAATACTATAAACAAATGAAAAATCAAGGGGTGGCTGTAATTACTATGCAAAAATATGTACCTCCAGACGTTCACAACTGCAACAACGAGCAGTGGCGTCGTGTTCGTGTGAAGGGCAATACTTTTGAGACCAAAAAGGGTGGCATCTGTACTCGATCAAGCCAACTCCATTAGTAGGGATCTGTAAATATATTTATAGCAGAACAGTAACATAGATATTAGGATAACCAGTTAAAATTAAGCCTATATTACAAACTGTAAATGAAACTTAACATAACTACAAAAAATATTTGGCCCCCATTTGTCTTAGTTCTATAACTAGCCCAGTCAGTTGGGGTAACTTGTAAAACACAGACTAATCAGGGTAATTGTTTTTTTTTTTTAACAATTTCACCGGNAAAGAAACCGCAAAACTAGTTTCTTGGACATGATTACAGTTTACGATCAAAACAAGCATATCAAACTACCTCGTGTTCAGTAATAGGATAATGACATGCACTGCATCGAAAACAATCTGGGTGGTAGAACGTGCCCATGCACCCCAAATAATTCCCATAAACAATTTCTCGTTTACAGCCGCCACAGATTCTAACAATCATCAGCAAAAAAGCATTAAAGGGTCAGAAATATCTTTGCTAACCATAAGCCAAATACTGCATATGAGTGGCATAAAAGGAGAATTATAATACTAAATTCCACGAAAGCCAGCAACTCTGGATTAATAGGAATAAACTGCACAAGTTCATATTAAAAGGAAAAAATCATTTTTTTTTCAGGCTTGTTGGATTAGTGAAAAGGAAATTGACTATTGAGATAAATGCAAAACAAAAGCCTTTTGATCATCGTGTATATCCACCAGGAAAAAAAAATCTAACTCTATCAGCATAACCAGTCATACTAAATTAAGGATTTTCTACAAATTTCTTACAGATAACTTAGATGATAAAGTATTAAAGTGCATTGTTGACATTGCCAGAACCAACACAAAAAAATTAAAAATTCAAGGAGAGGCAATAATAATATACATAATATATATATATATATATTGACAGTAATTGATGTAATAAAATAACTCAGAGTTATAATACCTATAGCTCATATGATAATAATCAGAAGGGGCATACGAAGGATAAGGTGCTGAATTGAAACCATTATTGTGTTCATCATTGTCTGTTCTCCATTTGTATCCTGAAGAATAATAATAATAATTCCAGTCTCAAGTAATTTAGATACTTGCTAGGAAGCTATTTGGAAAAGAGAATGAAATATTTAACATCACCATTTGGTTTCTTTAAATCCTCCGCCAAAGAAAGTGCAATCGCACGATCTAATTCCTCCTTTTCTTTATTGGCTCGAGATCGGTCATCCTGCAGAGGCTCGAAAAAGATATCTCCTTACCAAGATGTATACATTTAGTTTCAACTTCTATCAAGCAGTATTGATAGCTATATACAGAAAAATAATTAATTTTCCATTTTGTTTGCAGAGTGACAGGGGTTCAGTATTAATAAACACACACACACACACACACACCCAATTTACTTCACTTAGGCAAAATATATCTAATCAGATAGCAAGTATGAGCAAGAGATAGTATAATATCAACAAAAAAGCAGCATGAAAAAGTTTTATAAGGTGGATTTCATCAATCATGTGGAAGTTTTGCAAATAATTATAGCATCATCAACTTAACACTAATCAAAGATTGGTACCAAGGATCTAACAGGAGCACGCCAAACAGTATTTTCATCGCCAAAAGACTGAGGTTGCTGTCCACCAGTATCGGCATGCCTGTTGCTGGCCCCACCTTTGAAAAGCCTACTCAGCCATTTCATAAACCTCGATTTGCGGTCTGCGTGTGAAGAAACAACATGTCCTGCTCAAATCCGGCAATTATACCATATTTTGTTTGAATAGTACGAGAAAAAATCAATCTTTACACGAGCGTTGGATGATGTTCAAGAAAGCAAGACTCAGTAAAAAAAATGTCTTAAGTTCTCAAACATGAAATTTCAATGAAATGGTGCATCAGCTAAAATGCACAANAACCTCCTTCATTCATAACTGAAATATGAATGAAAAACCAAAGGGCCCATCAACTAAAATACCCAAAGGACATCGTCTCATCACCAACAGAAACAAAAAGAATACAAAGAGAGAGAATAAAAGGGCATCTCATATTTCTCCTCAAGACAACAAAAGATCAAGTGGACATCAGGTAAGACGCAAAAATCTCTTTGCAAATTAACAGATAAATCTAAAAAAAGTGCACATCAACGAGATTACAGGTGAAAAAGAAAACAAGAAGCTTCATTGATAACTAAAATATGCATGAAAAAACAATGGGGCCCATCAACTAAAATACCCAAAGAACGTCTCAACAACAACAGAAACAAAAAAATACCAAGAGAGAGATTAAAAGGGCATCTCATATTTCTCTTCAAGCCAACAAAAAATCAAGTGGGCATCAGGTAAATCTCTTCGCAAATTAACAGATAAAAAGGAAAACTAAAAGAAGTGCACATCAGCGCGGTTACAGGTGAAAAAGAAAACAAGAACCTTCATTCATAAATCATAACTAAAATAATGGGCCCATCAACTAAAATACCCAAATAACATCGTCTCAACAACAACCGAAACAAAAAATACCACGAATTACACTAAAAGGCATCACTTGAAGGTTAAAACGGCGTCTATATTTCTTCCCAAGACAACAAAAAATCAAGTAGGCATCAACTAAAATGCCAAAAAAATAATAATAATAATAATTACACCCAATTCACACATATTATATACAAAATAAAATGAAAAGACATACCATAAATGCAAGGCTGAGAAAGGTGGTTGACGTTCGAAGAAGACATGAGGCAAAGGGATTTTCTGAAACGGTGAAAGGGACTAAGAGAGATGATGAGAGGCGAGGAGGGAAGGGGAGAGAGAGAGGGTAGAAAGAGAAGAATGGCATCATATTGATAAAGCTAAGTTTTTGAGAGAAAGAAAGTAGGGGAGGGAAAAGAAGGAATCTGTGAGGGGGAAAGAGATTCTTGGCTTGGGGAAAGAAGTGAAGAAAGTTAATGGGCGAGAATCTTATAGTGAGGAGGCGGATGCCTAGTGATGGCAAGATGAAAAATATTCAAAAATTAATGATAATAAATGAAAAGGTAAAGGAAGAATTGAACAGGCAAAAAGGGGAAAAGCTGCGTTGGCTAAGATGGCGAGAGATTCCGTGGAGCTAAGAACACTGTTTATTATTCCTGGCCATGAATGAGAAGCCATAACCATACCAGACCTCTCTCTGTGTGAACATGGCAAGATTATGCGTGTGGGGTGGTAGAACACGAGATATTCTTTTACTTCATTAAAAATTTTTTAAATAAAATTTTCATTAATTAAACAACTAAATTACTCTTAAATAAAGATTAATAGAAAAAATTATTATATGGTACCCAAATTTATCTTATTTTTCATTCTGGTGCTCTAAGTTTTTATTTATTCAATTCTTGTAAAAAATAACATAAAATTTAGAAGAAAACAAATATGCAGAAAATGTCACTTCAAATCGAAGGCATGCTCGAAACATCAAATTAATTAAGGGGTATTGTTGCTCATGAAAATAAGAACAATATGAAAGTTCACCCATCAAATTTGGTCAACCAAGTCGTCGAAAATCACCAGTTGAAGTATTAGTCTTGTTGTCGCACACCTTGAAAATATGAAAACTTCACCGGCTTTTTTCTAACTATTGCAAGATCCGATCAACGATCAAGAGATAGGTTGCATTATTTATGGAAAGAGTTTTCTATACAAATATGTTTCACAAGAATCCAACTACAGGATCTCTGATGACATTCCAACAAAATTTAATACGCAATTCTTTGATTTGTTTAAAAAAATAACAATGAATTAACAAAGTTTGAGTTATCATATGATGAAATTAAAAATGGTGTTGGATAGATAGAGTCGAGATCTTCAAAATGAGCTTCTACCCGAGGGTTACCTTATCGTTATCAACTGCTTTCAACCTTCAAAATGTTGTATCATGGGCTTGAGCCGCTTCTAAAATTCGAATCCGAAATAGCTCAGAGAAGAGATCCGATGGCTGGCCTTTTCGTAATTTGTTCAATTTAACCACTACTAAACGAGCGACGAACGGCGGCTAAGTAGCTAACGGTGGTGGCGAGCGGCAGCAGGCGGCGGATCTTCAATTCTAGTACATTTTAAATTTAATAACCCTACTTTTAATTATTTTGTTTTCATATGTATGAGCTAGAAATTAAATATCAAAATAAATTATAATTTAAATTAAAGTAATCGTATAATAGGTATTTCGTATGTACGAGGTGTACGAGGCAGTCGACATAATATTTTGCCTTGTACATATAATCAAATTGAAATTTTGGTCAATCTAAAGGTGGAATGGGAGGATACCTATTGTCCGGTATGTACGAGAGTTACCTTATCCTATAAGTTCCCAACTCTGTAATTGTAAAGATTTTTTGTTTTTTATTTTGAATTATTGTGACATTAAAAGTGAAAAAAGAAATATTTTTAAGAAAGGTATGATAATTTAAATTTTGAGGGATATAATAAAAATATAGTAATTTAAGTTAATATAATAATAAAAATAGTATCTCCCTACATAGAAATATAGAGTTTTCCGAAAACATGTCCATTTCTTGTACTTCTTAGGGGATGTATCGTAAATCCTGAATAATTTTTTAAATTTTTAGAATTTCGGTTTACTTA